CAATAATTTTTCACCAATTCATTAATTAAGGTCTTTAATTAAACCCAATTAATTGGTAAACACCCCATTAATTAGCACATCCAGGAATTAATTAATCCATTCCATAGGTAATTAATATTAATTAAACAAAATACGTTTCATTATCTGGAATTAATTAATTGTAATTAGGGATTAATTAATCCTTTCAGCAGCTAATTACCCTTAATTAAAGCAAATTAATTATTGTGAGTTAATAAATGGTAATAATGGATTAATTAATCACCCTCAACCACTAATTAAGCCCCAATTAATTTCTATTAATTTATTTCTATTAATTATTACTTTCTATTAATTCATCACTTTTTTCAGTAGCTAATTAGGTTTAATTTAATTAATTTCTATTTATTCATCACCCTTTCCAGTAGATAATTAGGCTTAATTATGTTTAATTAATTTCTCCTTATTAATCACTCTTTCCATTAGCTAATTAGGCTTAATTAATTATTTTCTATTAATTAATCACCCTTTCCAGGAGCTAATTACCCATAATTAAGTTTAATTAATTTCTATTTATTTATAACTGTTTCCAGTAGCTAATTAGGCCTATGTAAATTTAATTTCTATTTATTAATCATCCCTTCCAGTATTTAATTACCCTTAATTAAGTTTAATTAATTTCTATTAATTAATCAATCATCCTTTCCAGGCGCTAATTACCCTTAATTAATTTCAAATAATTAATCATCCTTTTCAATAACTAATTAGAGTTAATTAACTTATATTTATTGACCATCCTTCCCAGTAGCCAATTACCCTTAATTACCCTTAATTGCATTTAATTTCTCTTAATTAATCACTCTTCTGAGGAACTAATTACCTTTAATTAAATCTAATTAATTTCCATTCATTAATCACTCCCGAATAATTAATCACCTTTTAATTACCTTATTACCCACCCCCACCCATTAATGAAGCCCCAATTAATTAATTAACGGCTCCAATTAACGATTTTTTTCCTTTATTTACCAAAAAAATCCCCTCAGGCCCCGCCCCCACCCCACAAAAACCGCGCCGGGGGCGTGGCCAACTCAGACCACGCCCATTTTGGGTCAAGCCATGCCCATTTCGGTAAAAACCACGCCCATTTCGGGTTAAACCACGCCCACTTCCGGGTTGGAGGTGTCCATTTCCGGGTTAGGCCACGCCCCCGCCGATGGCGCCCCCTGGCGGGGCGGAGGAGCGATGACGTCATTTCTCCTTCGGGGGCGGCCTGGGGGGGGGGAGAGAAACCAGTAAAAACCAGTATAGACCAGTATGGACTGGGATAAACTGGGATAGACTATGATAAACTGGTAAAAACCAGTAAAAACCAGTATGGACCAGTAAAAACCAGTATAGACCAGTATGGACCAGTATAAACCAGCATGGACTGGGATAAACCGGTAAAAACCAGTATAAACCAGTATGAACCAGTATGGACCGGTATGGACTGCTATAAACCAGTAAAAACCGGTATAAACCAGTATGGACTGGGATAAACCGGTATAAACCAGTATGAACTGGTATAAAGCAGTACGGACCAGGATAAACCAGTATAGACCAGCAAAAACCAGTAAAAACCAGTGTAAACCAGTAAAAACAAGTGTGAACTAGTATGGACTGGTATAACCCAGTAAAAACCAGTATAAACCGGTATGCACTGGGATGGACCAGTAAAAACCAGTATGGACTGGGATAAACTGGGAAAAACCAGTATGGACCAGTATGGACCAATATAAATCAGTAAAAACCAGGATAAACCAGTATAGACCAGAATGGACCAATCCCGTTTTAACCCTAAAAAAATCCTCTTTTTAACCCTAAATTTGCCATTTTTAACCCTAAAACCCCCCTTTTTTTTCCCTCCCAATTCATTCCAGTCCCTCCCAGTGTAAACCAGTTTAAATTTAATTCCTAAAATCACCACTTTTAACCCTAAAATTCCCATTTTTAACGCCCAAATCCCCATTTTAACCCTAAAATCCCCATTTTTTGCCCCAAAACTCCCGGGTTTTTTCCTCCCAGTTTGTTCTAGTCCCTCCCAGTATAAACCAGTATAACCCAGTCCCATTTTCATTTCTGAAATTGTCATTTTTAACCCCAAAATCGCCATTTTTAACCCTAAAATCTCCATTTTTTGCCCTAAAACCCCTGGGGTTTTTTGCTTCTAGTCCCTCCCAGTATAAACCAGTTTGTCCCAGTACAAACCAGTCCCTCCCAGTATAAAGCAGTCCCTCCCAGTCCCATTTTGATCCCTGAAAATAGCATTTTTAACCCCAAAATTGCCATTTTTAATCTTAAAATTCCCATTTTTAACCCTAAAATCTCCATTTTTCACCCTAAAACTCCCGGGTTTTTTCCTCCCAGTCCCTCCCAGTCCCTCCCAGTTTGTCCCAGTTTCCCCCAGTCACCGGCAGACGCCGACCACCACGGCGTGGTCCCTCTCGTAGGGCTCCAGTGCCCTCCCAGTACAAACCAGTATAAACCAGTTCAGCCCAGTGCCCTTCTTAACCCCAAAATCCCCATTTTTAACCCCAAAATCCCCATTTTTAACCCTAAAACCCCAGGGTTTTTTGCTCCCAGTCCCTCCCAGTATAAACCAGTTTGTCCCAGTCCCCTCCCAGTTTATCCCAGTCCCTCCCAGTCCCATTTTTCATCCTAAAATCCCCATTTTTAACCCCAAAATTGCCATTTTTAACCCTAAAATCCCCATTTTTCGCCCTAAAACTCCCAGGTTTTTTTTCTCCCAGTTTGTCCCAGTCCCTCCCAGTATAAACCAATATAACCCAGTTTGTCCCAGTCCCATTTTCATTCCTGAAAATGTCATTTTTAACCCCAAAATTGCCATTTTTAACCCTAAAATCTCCATTTTTCGCTCTAAAACTCCCGGGTTTTTTGCTCCCAGTTGATCCCAGTCCCTCCCAGTATAAACCAGTTTATCCCAGTATAAACCAGTCCCATTTTGATCCCTGAAAATGTCATTTTTAACCCCAAAATCCCCATTTTTCACCCTAAAATCTCCATTTTTCGCCCTAAAACTCCTGGGTTTTTTCCTCCCAGTTTGTCCCAGTCCCTCCCAGTATAAACCAGTATAACCCAGTGCTTTCCAATCCCCTTTTTACTCCTAAAATTGCCACTTTTTAACCCTAAAATCTCCATTTTTCACCGTAAAACTCCTGGCTTTTTTCCTCCCAGTTTGTCCCAGTCCCTCCCAGTATAAACCAGTTTACCCCAGTATAAACCAGTCCCATTTTGATCCCTGAAAATATCATTTTTAACCCTAAAATCCCCATTTTTCACCCTAAAATCGCCGGTTTTTACCCTAAAACCCCCATTTTTTCTGCTCCCAGTGCCTCCCAGTATAACCCAGTTTGTCCCAGTCCCATTTTCATTTCTGAAAATGTCATTTTTTACCCTAAACTCCCCATTTTTAACCCGAAAATCCCCATTTTTCGCCCTAAAACTCCCGGGTTTTTTCCTCCCAGTTCATCCCAGTCCCTCCCAGTCCCATTTTTCATCCTAAAATCCCCATTTTTAACCCTAAAATCCCCATTTTTCACCCTAAAATCTCCATTTTTCATCCTAAAACTCCCGCGTTTTTTGCTCCCAGTCCCTCCCAGTATAAACCAGTCCCTCCCAGTATAAACCAGTCCCTCCCAGTATAAACCAGTATAACCCAGTGCTTTCCAATCCCCTTTTTACCCTTAAAAATGCCACTTTTTAACCCTAAAATCCCCATTTTTAACCCTAAAATTGCCATTTTTTACCCTAAAACTCCCGGGTTTTTTGCTCCCAGTTTGTCCCAGTCCCTCCCAGTATAAACCAGTATAACCCAGTCCCATTTTCATTTCCGAAATTGTCATTTTTAACCCTAAAATTGCCATTTTTAACCCTAAAATCTCCATTTTTTGCCCTAAAATCCCTGGTTTTTTTGCTCCCAGTTCATCCCAGTCCCTCCCAGTATAACCCAGTTTATCCCAGTCCCTCCCAGTTTATCCCAGTATAAACCAGTCCCATTTTGATCCCTGAAAATGACATTTTTAACCCCAAAATTGCCATTTTTAACCCTAAAATCCCCATTTTTCACCCTAAAACTCCCGGGTTTTTTCCTCCCAGTTTGTCCCAGTCCCTCCCAGTATAAACCAGTTTGTCCCAGTCCCATTTTCATTCCTGAAAATGTCACTTTTAACCCCAAAATCCCCATTTTTAACCCTAAAATCCCCATTTCTATCCCTAAAATCCGTGGTTTTCGCCCTAAAACTCCCGGGTTTTTTGCTCCCAGTTCCTCCCAGTATAAACCAGTTTGTCCCAGTCCCCTCCCAGTCCCATTTTGATCCCTGAAAATGACATTTTTAACCCCAAAATCCCCATTTTTAACCCTAAAATCTCCATTTTTCACCGTAAAACTCCTGGCTTTTTTCCTCCCAGTTTGTCCCAGTCCCTCCCAGTATAAACCAGTATAACCCAGTCCCATTTTGATCCCTGAAAATAGCATTTTTAACCCCAAAATTGCCATTTTTAACCCTAAAATCCCCATTTTTAACCCTAAAATCCCCATTTTTTGTCCTAAAACCCCCTTTTTTTTGCTCCCAGTCCATCCCAGTCCCTCCCAGTTCATCCCAGTCCCTCCCAGTATAAACCAGTTTGCTCCAGTCACCGGTAGACGCCGACCACCACGGCGTGGTCCCTCTCGTAGGGCTCCAGCGTCAGCTGCTCCTGCGGCTTCATCCTCTCGGCCGTCATCTTCCTCACCTCCCCCGCGAACACCGCCTCGGCCGGCGCCGTCGAGTCGATGCAGTTCGCCT